AACGACGTAGGTAGTAGTCGTCGTTCGTAGTACGTACGTAGGAGTAGTCGTAAACTAGTACGTACGTAGGTAGTACGTACTACGTATCTACTCTCTCGTCTCGTACGTACTCTCTCTCTCTCTCTCTCTCTCTCTCTCTCTACTATATATATATATATATATATATATATATATATATGTATGTATGTATGTCGTTCAAGATATATTGAAATATTCATCTTGTTTGCATTGTTTCTGGCTCATTATTGTTGGTTTTTAGGTATATGTTTCTCTACTGACTCTTTTTGCAAACCGATAGATCGACTTAGTGATGGAACTGTTTGAAGGGGGTCCCTTTGATCGAAGAGTGATGGGGAAAGCTGGTTGTCTTAACTATTCCCCTACACCATGGGAATTCACCAAGCCTGAAGTTTACCAGAGACAAATCAACTACGAGTTTGATAAGCGAGTATCTCGTTATGGAGGGCAAGTTACTGGCACACAGCAAAAGTCCCTCCTCTCTGATAGGAATGGGTGGGTTATAGATGAGGTCATGACCTTCCATGGTGTACCATTTGGTGATTATTTCAATGTAAGCATGGCTGCACTAACTTATACTCCATTCTGAGTGCTTAAATCTGTTAATTTTTTTTATGACTAAAATTTGGATCTGTATTTATGTGTTTTGGACCAGATTTTGAGTGGAATTGTTTTCTAATTTCCTTTGACATTTTCAGGGAGGCCATATATTTGCTGTAATATTCTGAAACTTTGGATTTCTGAAAAGCCCAAATTGATTGTTTAGCTGAACTTCCCCCAATTTTTTAATCCATGTTTTAAGTTTAGTGTGGCGTTTGAGTTTTATTATCTCGAAACATTTACTCTTGTCAGTTGTGCCATTGCTCAAGAATATTATTCCTCTCCCTTAAATCTCTTTATAATTTTAGAATGGCATTTATTAATTTACTTCCGAGTCTCTGTTGCTTTCTCTCTGTACTAAAATGATCTACAATCTCCTTTTCAGCTTCGTCTGAGATACCAGATCGAGAGTCCCCTGAACACATCCAAGACAGCGAGCAATGTACAAGTTTTACTAGGAATTGCTTGGCTAAAAAGCACAAAACATCAAAGGAAGATTACTGGTAACATTGTTTCTAGGCTCTCTGATCTCCTAAAGGAGATCTTCGAGCTAGCAGAGATGGAAATTCTCATGTCGAAGCAGCCAGATCCATGGCCCAAAAAGGAGGCATAGAAAGTCTTCCCTTTGTTGCAAAAGTAGCAGAATTTAAATTTCTCACAGCACAGCAAGCCACATTTATCTTCTCTTTGGTTCACAATTATATATGTTTTTGTCGAACTTCTCTTTGGCTTAACAAGAGAAACAGTCCAAATTGGGGCATGGGTTCTAAAGGAAAAAATATGCCCTTTCTTGTGGTAGGGCGAGTTCTCCATTGCATCAGCCCTGAAACATCTGACCACATTGTATGAGTTACTGATCAGGAAGCTTAGCAATGAAAGGAAGTTGACTTCGATTAAGAACTGCAAGCTTGTAAAGGTATTTGATCAAAATATTTCTTTTGATTGTTATTATCAGTTGGAGAACAAAAAAAAAGTCCATGTGAAAAGATTCTTCAAGTGCTGTAATTTTTTAGTTCTAACATGGCATGCTGTACCTTTTATCATTGAAGAGGGTGCAGTGTGGTCGTTGGGCCCTCTGAAATGTTCCATGGAGGCAATATGGTCATTTCATGCTGATGTTTCCGTAAATTTGAAATTGTGGCTCATTTCTGTGATCGCAAGAAACCTGAAGGCTTTTTGTATGTCCACCTCTATTATATTACTCGCTTACCTACTTCATTCGCTAACTGTTTATTTTTTCCTGCTTGGAACGGATTTATGAACCTGATATTCACTTTTGCAGAACAATTCTACTAATCCTGAAGCAATTCTTTGCTTTCATTTTTTACAGCCCAGACCCAATATACAAATGTTGGCCTTAAAGCTGAAACCAATCCATGGGTGAGTTTTCTATGTTTATATTAGGTTTATGGAATTGAGTCCCGTATGCCTCAGCTCCTCTGACAAAATTGAAGAACACGGGCAAAAGAGATCATTCAAAAGAATGAAGAAAAGGTGGGTGCTGTGAGCCAGATTGAGGCTTGCTAACAAAGGATTGAGCTCATATTTGGCCTTCTTTCTGGGGTCTGGCTGAGAATGAGAAGCACCAATATTCAGGACTGTATTAACCTTGGAGCTCATATTTGGCTTTCCTTTCGGGATCTGCCGTAGGGGGAGAAGCATCCTTAATAAAAAAGGAGATATTAGATCTCTCTTTAGGTCTCTAATGACTCTGAAAATCAGTGTTCAGCCTGAAGTTGCAGAAGTTCTTGAGGCATTATTGTGCCCTATTACAATGAGAGAAATGTAGAGGATTACTGTATTTGGTGGACGGTCGAAATTTGAGTCATTTGAATGGCACTACATATTTGAAGATGTGCATTTGCTCTAGAAAAATTGCAGAGATATGCTGACCTTTCCCATTTGAGAATGGGGTTGGTTCTAGTTGTACTCACGAGTGAGTTTTGTAACAAATCGTAAGATCTGGACCGTTGGATGTTGTCAGTGGATCTCAAACCGTCCAAGCCAATCGATAATAACGGGACTTAAGGAAGGTGGCAATGATGTGTAATAATTTTATTGTAAAAAAGATGAACATGATAGCATTTTTTGGATATTAAACCAATAATCAAGAATTCATGATTCTGGAATCCAGACCGGAAGGTTGGCGATCCTCAACTGAAAAACCTCGGAATTGCTTAGGTCTTGGAATTTTTTAATTTTTTTGTTAAAATGTAACTTGATCCAACTCAGGAATCCAAGGATTCTGAATGAGACTGTTGCCGAGTCGCTGCCTGGTGATTATTTAAACATTGCTATTGACGCATTTTATTTTGGGAAAAATTTATATAAGGTTAACACCTTGAAATATAAAATCTAGAATTAAGGTGCATCTCTAAAATCCTTTGAAAATGTTGTTTTGATGTTAAAAAGATATCTAATTGATCATCTCGACATCGAGATGTATAGATATGGGAAAAAAAAGAGATTTCAACTCTTAAGGGATTGTATACAATGAGACAATTTATTTTTTATATAAAGTAGTCACAATTATGTACAACCATCAGATAGTTTGGATATGTCACAAAGTTCGAAGAATTTTTTTTTGAAGTTTGAGCTTGGTCAATGGAATAAATGCAGCCATCTAATTTCACGTCGTCCAATGATTAAGATTACTTGTAATCATCTTGTATCAAAGATAAATGATTTCATTGTATATTTTTCGAATTTTTAAAAATAATACATCTTGCAACAAATTATTTGGACGGTCTATTTTCATTATTTCATACGTTTATAGATATAGGTTTATAGATGTGCTTGATTTGAATCATTCTTAGAGTTCAAAATTTTATGATTGGAGACAAAAACAGAATTTTGCACCATCTCTTAGAGGGGCACCTTACTTTTAGGTTGCAACCTTATGGAAATCAGACCCTTTCGATTTTTTAGGTGGTCATCATTTTGTAAATTACAAGTCGAGCTTAAAAATTATAGGCATGCGTCTTTAGGTGATGGATTATGGGAAATGATCCATGTCATCCCTCTCACCACTAACTTGCAGACGAGGATAATTAAATTAGGGAAACGTTTATATAAGGCTGCAATCTTAAAATGTAGAATCGCCGATGCACTTAAAAAATCTATTGAAAATGTTGTTTTAATATTTAAAAAACCCTCTAATCGATCATCTCGACATCGAGATGCATGAATATGAAAAAAAAAAGTTTTTGAGTTTCGAAAATAGTGCATCTTGCAATACATTATCTAGACTGTCTATTTTCGAGATTTTCATATTTTTATAGATCTACTTGATTTTAACCATTTTTAGAATTTTCTAATTAAGTATGAAAATAGATTTCAGATAATACTATATTTTACAACAAAATTACATGTTATAATAAAATTTTAAGGTGTGCCTTAATTGGATTGTTTAAGATTGCAACCTTATAGAAACCACACCCATTAATTTATATCACAAATTTTTTTTGATGAGCATAATATCATTTCTTTATTATAAAATGTCCTGAATACCTAATGTTTCATTGGAGTAGTATTTTGTTGGTGAGTGCCAAGTGTGCTCCCTTGGGTAAAAGAACTACTTTGGTATGACTTTTTTTAATTTGAAAATCTGGGATCCACCTAAACATCTTAGAGTATTTTCTTTTTTTTTTTTTAAAAAAAATGATAATGTAAGAAGGGTGAGGACTTTAAACTTTCTCTTAACCTATCCCATGCAAAGGGTGGGTTGTATTAGATAGTCAGCTAAATGTAAAATTTTGCTAAAATTTATTATGAATTCTGAACCTACAATATTTGCTTATGTTATGTTAGGGCGTTCTCAAGAAACGACGCACTGTACATGATAGGCTTATGCTTTCTTTTTTCTGTTTTACTAGTAGTCAAGTTGAAGAGGTTACATCGCAAAAAATCTGAATCTACAACAGGCTTCCATGGGAGCAGATAATCCTTTGGCTTTGCCCATTATAATCTTTAGATTTTACATAGTGTTGGTTTTCTTTCTTTTGGCCTTTCTTGGGCCATTTGTTGCTTCATTGACAATGTCATATTTCAATCTTATTTCTCCTGAAAGAATCAATATTGAACAAGGCTCATGTTTCTTTAGAATTCATTTAGAATTTGTAGTCAAAGAACATGAAAACAACATATGCTTCAATCTGAAAAATGTGACCAACCAATTTCCAATGTAGTCCACTTGACTGTGAGCATGTCTGCTCATGTTTCTTTTGATTTTTTTGTTTTTTGGACAGAAAGCTTTTCCTTTCTGTTCTTTTCATCTTTTTCAAATCTCTGTCACAACATTTAATATGGTTTGGGTTGTTTAGAGTTTAACGGAAAAAAAAAGGATACGGTTTTTATGAGTCTATATAGAAATGAGTCACCTCTTAATAAATAAATAAATTTTGGACCTACATGGAGATCATAAATATGAAAAAATAAATAAATTTTGAAAATTTAAAATAATAATTCCATTAAAAAAATATTTGGATCTTTAATATTAATTAGACCACCTATTTGCATCCATCTTTAAGATGGCACTTTATACCTCGGGGACCGGTAATGTAGAAATGTGGTCCCTGCGGCATAAATCAATTTTCCATGAAAAAAAACTCATTTTCCGTGAAAAAACAGTTGTGGCTTTGGTGTCATCAAAACTTGCTAGCTTGTATTGTGGCCCTTATGCTCTATCCACAAAACTAAGATGAATAAAAAATATTAAAAAAGGACAAAGTGTGGAAGCAAATCAGAAGTTCATAAAGCTAAAAAAAAAAAAGGGATCTCAAATTATGGATCTTGTGCCTAAGACACTTCTCAGCTTAGAATTAAGGTTCATCAGGAGCAAACCTAGGTTAAGTAATGAATTAGCTGATAGATCGCTTATTATTAGCGGCATAATGTTAAAAGGAGGTGGCTAAATGGAGGTTCAACTTACCAATGACCCCAAACCATAATCGGTTTTGGATCGCCTACCCACTTTATCGATCCATTGGCTAAATTGGTAAAAACTCAATAAAAACAGTATAAGGCGATTGTGCGATAGGACAATATCACCCACCCCTTTGAATCCGATCTGGATCGACGATTCTGTGAATATTGGTGGAGCGTTTACCACAAATACAGTGTCATGAAATTGCCACACAAAATAGATACTGATCCCTTCCCAAACTGAACCTTAATGCATTATTGATTTGCGACTTTATGCTCAAAACTGCACTTTTTCCAGTAATTTGTAATTGGACTTTGAAAGCAAAACTTAATGAGGGTCTTTTATTGAGATATTAAAATTTGGAAAAAAGGTAACAAAAATAGTGCCAGCGTTTAAGGTTGTTTGGACAGTTCCGATACAGGCATGCTAGTATTCTAAAAATCTGGAATCTAACAGTGCAATTCGAAAAACTGCTTCTATACCTTTTCTACCATGGAAGGTTAAGGCTAATTTAATAGCTCCAAAATGGGTATGAGTGTACCCATCTTTAAGCCATTAGGGAAAAAAGTTTCTTGGTAAAATAATGGTGATATATTGTTCAGCTTGGATAGCAGGAATTTGATGCATATACTTATATGCTATGTACCATTCTATTTATGCATCAGCTCAGCATTTTAGCATCCATTTCCAAATAAAGTCCTTGATTACTAACAGATCAATGCATTAATTTGTTTGGGCCCTTGATCCCCTAGTCTATTTCGTATCAGTGATCCAAGAATGGCAAGTGGGCTCCAACTTGACAGGGGTCTGATTCAAGGTTCCCTTTGCCCGCCGCCCCCACCCCTACCCCTCAGGGGGTTTGACTCGGGTGAGTCCGAGTCATAGAGGGTTTTATTTTACATAAAAGGTTCACTTTTAAAATTATTGGAAGACCATAAACTCAAAGATTTCGGGGTTCTTTTCCCCAAAATCGCCAATAAATCTCGAGTAAAATCTGATTTTTGAAACTCTCTTAGACCCCTATTGGAATCTCTACCTTCAAAAGAAAATTTTTTTCCCTCCCTTGAACACAATATTAACAAACCATGAGTTTTCTCATTTCCAGTTAAAATGTCATCGTTTAGTGTAAACCTTCTCTCTCATACACATACACACAAACACAAATTTTTAAGTAGTTTTATATGTGATTCTCTTGGAAGCGTCAAAACTATTTCTCTCTTTACTCTTCTCCGGTGTTATTTGAACATACATTTTTTTACTTAGTATTACGTGTTGACACGTAAATGTGTGTCGAACATTGACACTTAATCGATGTGTCAAATGACATCATCAACTTTTAAGTATGTTTCCTAGCTTCGGTTAAGTTAAGAGCAGTGTTTAAAAAAACTCGGGAATCGCCATGGACGGCTCAAATCGACGAAAAAAACGGGAATCGTCCGGTTCTAGAGAGAACCGGACGATCTGTACAGTGACTCGCCGATTCACTGTACGGAATCGACGAGTCCGTACAGTGAATCGGCGAGTCCCGTACGGAATTATTATTATTATTATTATTATTATTATTATTATTTT